TTTCTTAGCTTTATTAGTTACAAAAACTGAAAAAAGGCATTTTCAAGATGGAGATCAAATCTCTGTTATTGACTTTGGTAGCTCTAATCAGTTTTTGTTCCCATTCCTTTGAACGTAGTCGTTTTCAAGACTTCTGCATTGCTGATACTAACAGCTTTGGTATTTTGCTTTATCTTACACGAACTTTTTATTAATTTCTTTATTCTCTTCTTATCAAATTTAGATGTGCATTAAATCATGTTGTTTTCATGTCATTAAACTCGGGTCAAATCTTTTATTACGACATTACATGCACATGCAAAATTGCTTGAAGTTTGAAAATGAACACTATACATGCACTTGATTTTTGTGTGTATTATACAGTTGCATAATTTTACATATATTTAATTTTAAATTTAAAAATAATTTGGTAGTGTAATTATAAATATTTGGAATAGAGGATCTCATTCTCCAATTTAACTCTTGCGTCAATATGTTTCTTTAGTTTCAGTTATATCAATTTTACTTTTAATTTTCATATTGTGGCAAGTTTAGTCCAATTGGTATTGTTAAGCAATCAAATAGAAATCAATAGCAAAATAATCCATCAAAAAAGAAATGAGTCATTTTAAATTGGATGCCAACTCCATTACTTTAACTATTTGGTCATTTGATTTTAGTTCAATTTTTTAAAGGAGGGGTTATAAATTAGATTAAATTCAAAAATAGAATTGATACAATTAGAATTACAAAGACTAACTGACACAAAAAATAAATTACAATAACTACACACATTACTAAAAAAAAACACTTTTTGCGACCGTTACAAACCATCGCAAATAATTAAAATACATTCTCAAAAGACTTTTTGCGACGGCCCATGCGACAACAAATAGGGGTTGCGAATGTGGGGGTGACCAATATTTTTTGCGACTGCCTAACTTACTTATGGCAACTGATGTTTTGCCGTCGCAAATTTTTTTTAAAAAAATACCTATAATGTATTAGCGACCATCTTTTTACCGTCGCAAATAGTTTTCAATGATATTTGTAAATAGTGCATCATTATGATTTATGATCTTTCCAAAAATCTGACTACGTTGAACAAGCCAAATCCAAGTGAATCCTATCAACAAGAAACTAAAAAATAAACTCAACCAAGTGAAATTCTAATTTTTTTTTTCTGTCAATTGTTGTGCTTGAAACTCTTAATGTTCTTCAAAGCCGTTCAACTGGGCTAAAAAAAAAAAAAAGAAGAAGAAAAAATGTTGGATTAGAACAAAATAATTCTTGTTATAATCCAATTTACTCAGAAATGCTTTTCACTGCCTCTGAAACTTCCCAAGCAGAAGATCGAACCTCAACAGTTTTCTTACCTCTGTAACTTCCCAAGCAGAAGATAAACCTCAACAGTTTTCTTTCTTTAGTCGTGACATTTTTTGGGCCTACGGAAACAAAAAGCAAAATGAATTGGAAAGTCTCAATATGGAATTTTTTCATAGAAAGGAAATAATGAGTAGGGCTAGTTGTCCAAAGAATTAAGGCCTAGTTAAAGAGATAACAGTAAAAGTAAAACAATGATTCAAAGGCTTCTCAAAGTCATCGTATAAAAGGAACTTAACTCACCAGAAGAACAAGTTAAATTTATGTTCCAAGGGGTTGGCATTCTTGCTAAAAAATCCTTCTGGAAACATTAAGTTGAGGTGGCATGTTAGTACACTAAATTGGAGCAACTAAATAAAATTTTATGGATGATGTGCAGTTCCAAAAAAATTCAGATGAAAGTAAAACTAACAAGAGTGCAGGATTTTTCTAACCAGGATAAGCAAATGACATATGGTAGTAGAAAGTAGAATAAAAACCAAAAAGAGCAAGAAAAAAAACATATATAACATAGAAAAATCAGGGAAACCATTCTCTCAAACACTAAACTTGCAAAGGTGCTATCACAAACAAGGGTATATTTGATATAAAAACAAGCTTCAATGGAGGATCAAGGGCTTAACATTATGAGGGCATGGCGAACAAAGCATTGACATATGTTTTCTTTTTAAGGATTTGGATCTCCCGAATAAGGCTTTTTATCGTATTTATAGGTCCGCATACCCAAGATACCTTCTACAATTTCAACTATTATCAGGAGTTTATTTGTTGATTATGGTGATGTTCCTATGAAACCACAATGGTTACTTGAACAGAATAATTTGGATACAAAACATGAGCAACATAGATAAAACAGAAGGGAAAAAAAAAAAAAAAAAAAAAAAGCATACTCTTACATGAATAACAAAATTTCTTTTAAGATAAAAAGTAAAAAGGCAGGCAGTTCCTTTTACAGTTTTGAATTCTTCATGATAACTATTTAATTGTTTAATGTAGCCAGAAGATGATACAAAATATCAAACAAAGAAATTTTGTTTAACTAAAGGAACCAGCGTCATGTTTAGTTGTTTCATGGTAAATATTGGAATCTTCTCTGTAATAAAAGCATATCAATATCATGTGAAACTCATGTTCTATAGATCCATTAACAACTATCTGTATCCCAAAATGAACACTATACATGCACTTGATTTTTGTGTGTATTATACAGTTGCATAATTTTACATATATTTAATTTTAAATTTAAAAATAATTTGGTAGTGTAACTATAAATATTTGGAACAGAGGATCTCATTCTCTAATTTAACTCTTGCGTCAATATGTTTCTTTAGTTTCAGTTATATCAATTTTACTTTTAATTTTCATATTTTGGCAAGTTTAGTCCAATTGGTATTGTTAAGCAATCAAATAGAAATCACTAGCAAAATAATCCATCAAAGAAGAAATGAGTCATTTTAAATTGGATGCCAACTCCATTACTTTAACTATTTTGTCATTTGATTTTAGTTCAATTTTTTAAAGGAGGGGTTATAAATTAGATTAAATTCAAAAATAGAATTGATACAATTAGAATTACAATGACTAAATTGACACAAAAAATAAATTACAATAACTACACACACTACTAAAAAAAACACTTTTTGCGACCGTTACAAACCGTCGCAAATAATTAAAATACAGTCTCAAAAGACTTTTTGCGACGGCCCATGCAACAACAAATGGGGGTTGTGAATGTGGGGGTGGCAAATACTTTTTGCGACTGCCTAACTTACTTATGGCAACTGATGTTTTGCTGTCGCAAAAAAATTTTAAAAAAATACCTACAATGTATTAGCGACCATCTTATTATCGTCGCAAATAGTTTTCAATGATATTTGTAAATAGTGCATCATTATGATTTATGATCTTTCCAAAAATCTGACTACATTGAACAAGCCAAATCCAAGTGAATCCTATCAACAAGAAACTAAAAAATAAACTCAACCAAGTGAATTTCTAATTTTTTTTTTCTGTCAATTGTTGTGCTCGAAACTCTTAATGTTCTTCAAAGCCGTTCAACTGGGCTAAAAAAAAAAAAAAAAAAAAAGAAAAAGGGTTGGATTAAAACAAAATAATTCTTGTTCTTCCCAAGTAGAAGATAAACCTCAACAGTTTTCTTTCTTTAGTCGTGACATTTTTTGGGCCTACGGAAACAAAAAGCAAAATGAATTGGAAAGTCTCAATATGGAATTTTTTCATAGAAAGGAAATAATGAGTAGGGCTAGTTGTCCAAAGAATTAAGGCCTAGTTAAAGAGATAACAGTAAAAGTAAAACAATGATTCAAAGGCTTCTCAAAGTCATCATATAAAAGGAACACAACTCACCAGAAGAACAATTTAAATTTATGTTCCAAGGGGTTGGCATTCTTGCTAAAAAATCCTCCTGGAAACATTAAGTTGAGGTGGCATGTTAGTAGACTAAATTGGAGCAACTAAATAAAATTTTATGGATGATGTGCAGTTCCAAAAAAATTCAGATGAAAGTAAAACTAACAAGAGTGGAAGATTTTTCTAACCAGGATAAGCAAATGACATATGGTAGTAGAAAGTAGAATAAAAACCAAAAAGAGCAAGAAAAAAAACATATATAACATAGAAAAATCAAGGAAACCATTCTCTTAAACACTAAACTTGAAAAGGTGCTATCACATACAAGGATATATTTGATATAAAAACAAGCTTCAATGGAGGATCAAGGGCTTGACATTATGAGGACATGGCGAACAAAGCATTGACATATGTTTTGTTTTTAAGGATTTGGATCTCCTGAATAAGGCTTTTTATCAAATTTATATGTCCGCATACCCAAGATACCTTCTACAATTTCAACTATTATCAGGAGTTTATTTGTTGATTATGGTGATGTTCCTATGAAACCACAATGGTTACTTGAACAGAATAATTTGAATACAAAACATGAGCAACATAGATAAAACAGAAGGGGAAAAAAAAAAAACCATACTCTTACATGAATAACAAAATTTCTTTTAAGATAAAAAGTAAAAAGGCAGGCAGTTCCTTTTACAGTTTTGAATTCTTCATGATAACTATTTAATTGTTTAATGTAGCCAGAAGATGATACAAAATATCAAACAAAGAAATTTTGTTTAACTAAAGGAACTAGCATAATGTTTTGTTGTTTCTTGGTAATATTGGAATCTTCTCTGTAATAAAAGCATATCAATATCATATGAAACTCATGTTCTATGGATCCATTAACAACTATTTGTATCCCCTAGATAAATTTAATCAATACTCAAAAAATCAACAACCAATTAAACAAAGTTAGGAGTTGATGGCACCTTCATAGATTTATACATAAAAAGGTAAGGTACTGCACTAAAAAGAACTAAAGAATATCAGAGACGCATTACAAACTTAAGATTTCAAACTGAACTCAACTTTGAGGAGAAAAAACAGTTAGAAGAAACATACATCATTTCGAACAAGAATTGTTGGCTTGAATTCTCTTGTGGGTTAACACCCTCTTTACATTTGATAGAAAGCTGACCAGTGCCATTATCTTCCCATGCATCATTATTTGATGGATCACTTGATTGATATAATAACCACAGAAGTTGTCCCATTTCCAACTTCTTGGTCATGAAGCTCAGCCAAATGGATGCTTTATTCTCCTACCTTTGCAGCAGGATACTCAACATCTAACATCTTGAGTATTACAACACCATCATTAGTAATTGTTACATCACCAATATCATCAACTAGCATCTGAAACACAAAATCAACATATGAAGTGTTCAGCTTCATATATTTCATTTCATCAATTTGACCAAAAAAATAAAAAAACCTGAAAAATGTTACATTAATAACGAATTAATGGTCATGTGACGCCTAAAATTTCCACATTAATGCAAGGGAATATACTCTTTACCAAAATACCAAGTTACCCCACCTGCTAGTGAGATGGATAATAAAGCAAAAATGTTAAAAGATGCGTACTAGGCGATTAAATTATCCCATTACCATTATGGTGTAATCTTAATCAATTGCACAAAAGATCTACCTTTTCACTAAACTGACCCAGGGAAAAAAATTGTTTTAAGACTTTCAAAAACTCGTTACCAATACTGGTAACCTTAAAATATTGAAATTGCTGATCTAATAGTAAAAGTTGAACTGAAATTAAAATTTTAAGGGGGAGATGGAGAGACAGAGAGAGTAACTTCACAAACTGTTAGAATCTGCAAATCCAAATTAGAAATAAAGAAAGAAAGAAAGCACATTCAAGCATATAGCACATAACCAGTCCTTACCCTTTCCAAATTTAAATTGGAGTTAAAAAATTTCAAAACCCTCTCCACTTCTTTACTGAAACTAGAATGAAAATGAGTTTTACTCAAATCAAGAAAGACTCTCATATGTTCACTCAAAATTCCTATATGAAAATGAGTTCTACTCATTCTTTTACTCAAATCAAGAGTCATAATTTTACTCAAAATTTTGAATGCCGCTTTCAAATTTATTACTATGCTATTAAAAAAGTTTTTACTTAACTTTGAATTAAAATTTGAACAAAGGTGGGTGATGGGGAACCTAAAAATAAAACTAGAAATGAAAAGCAATTATGAATCCAATTTTCTAGAGAATCAGTTGCCTCCTCTTGAATTTCACGCAAAATATTAAGCCAAATGAAGATCAAATTCCAGAATTAACACCTATTTTCCCAATGATTCCTCCCTAGATCATGATAATAACAACCTAGAATGATATACATGTAGAGAGAGAGAGAGAGAGGGGTGGACTTATAATTTTCTACAGAAACATCTGTCTCCACTCAAATTTTGCACACTATTAAGCTAAATAAAACTCAAATTCCAGAAATAACACCTAACTTCTCAATGATTCCTTACAAGATCATGTTAAGTAGAGATAAAGAGAGAGGTAGTATAGCGATCCTGGTTTTCCCTTCATTGTTTAATTGTATTTCAGACTCGGTTCCGTGGATGTGTTATTGTCTTTTTCCCGTTTCCATCCTTTACTCTTTGTATATGAGTCTTGGGTCGTGTTGGGTAGGTTTAAAATAGGTTGGTTGTGTTTGGAAACCAAGTGTATGATATTATGGGTTTATTTTGAGGGCGTTACAGGTAGACTGATAATTTCCTAGAGAAACTGCAGTTTCCGCTCTAATTTCACACATAATTAAGCTAAACAAAGCTCAAATTCCAGAAACAATACCCATCTTCCCAATGATTCCTCGTTAGTGTTAACAACAACCTAGAATACTATACATGTAGAGAGATTAGAGAGAGATGACTGATAATTTTCTGGAAAATTCTACTATACACACCCTTTAAAGTGGTATACCACCTAGTTATGCTATTTACTTTTTTTGTTATGATTAAATTTATTTATTTTTTTAAGTTATGACAATATTTTAATTATAATTTATGAGATTTTAGCTATGGTTTATGTGTTGTTTAATTATGATATATTTTTAGTTATAACATAAAAATTATGGAGTTATACTATTTTTTTCTTTTTTCTACACAGAGTTTCCCTAATTTTCTAGAGAAACAGTAGTCTCCGCACGGATTTTGCACCTAATTAAGCTAAATCAAACTCAATTTCTAGAATTACACCTATGTTCCCAATGATTCCTCCCTAGATCATGTCAACAACCATATATATGTAGAGAGAGAGAGAGGTGGACTGATATTATGTTACAGAAACAGCAGTCTGCACTCAAATTTCACACATAATTAAGCTAAACAAAACTCAAACTCTAGAAATAACACCTACCTACCCAACCATTTCTCTTTAGATCATGTCAAAGCAACCTATATCGATTCTGAACTTAAAGAGCCTGAATACAGGGGAGAGAGAGAGAGAGGGAGAGAAGCTACGCACCTTCGCTGGTTGATTTTGAGATCTACAACAAAGGATCAAGTGAAAGAATTAGCATAATAATCACAAGGAGAAAGTAACTTTTTCCTTAACTAGAAGAAGAAAAATGAAGAATGATGAAGTTTGGGAATATATTAAGTTTATGGTACCATTTTTCTTCTTGTCTCAAAACAATGATCAATTTCAATTGGTTTATAAAGTGAAGATAGCTATAGAATATCGTATTTAAGAACCTTAATCATAAGGGGACAAATAGGCAAATGACCCTGAAGTATGAGTATTATACAAGAAAATGAATGTCTAGTACTTACTTCTTTTGATAGTCTCTTGATCTCAGACGTATAAAAATCAATTGTGTCTGCACTCTTCCCCGAAAGGCCAAGAAAACCAGTCTGCTTAATGAAAAACATTTTCCTGACAAGATGTTAGTATTCGTAATTAATGGTGAGATATAGCATGATGTAATTTTCTTCTAAATATGGCATATTAACACCAGTTTCAAAATAATCAAATTTTCATAGTCATGATGCAAGAAAGATTCATACTAGTTTGGTCCACAAATTAGCTTGCTTTACATTTTTGGTCCAACTAACTAAGCAAAGATTCATACTGATTTGGTCCACAAATTTACTCCTCCATTGGTGGGAATATGCCTAAGAATCAATAATCCATTGTTGAATGATTAAGACACCACTTAAATGCAAGTGTTATGTCCATAACAATCATTTTCCCTTAACAACAAACTTAAATGCAAGTGTTATGTCCTATCCTATCATTTTCACATTGCCCTACCACATTGATTTAGTATCTTATTGGAAATTTATTCAACTACTACGAGTAACAGATACATATCATATACTTTACACCAATTTATGGAAGATAATCTCATGATTAAATACAGATGATGGATCTGAAATCATTTAACAGTGGACGGCTTAGTATATGCTAGTGTTAGGTGCTACACAATTAGCAACCAAATTCTACAATTTTGGGCTCCTATGGATGGGTTAGCTAATTTTTTAAACCTATCAGTCCTTAATTTGGCTGTTAACTGCAGCCAGCTCCTTAGCAGTCAAGAGAGAGAAGGGACAGAAGAGAGAGAGAATGAAAGTCGGCGTCTCACAACTCATTTTAACATCTCCATTGGAGCACCCATACACTACAACATGAACAAACCCTTAACATACAAAATTGGACTCCACTTTTTGTCATATAATACACTTTAATAAACATTTTTAACATCTCCACTAGCCTTCTTAGTTAATATGGAAGAATGCATCATCAGAAGAATGCATTCTGACAAAAAAAAATAATAATAATAAACATGGAGCTGAAACAGAAATATTTGTGATAAAAATTATCAGAGAAAAAAAATTCAGATGTGAATTTCAAAAGAGTCTACTACATAGGACCAAAATCAATCCTCTATAGAACACTAAAGCAAAACAGAGGAATCATAAAATCAACATCTCCATCAATTGAATATAACTCGAATCTTCTGAATATTTCATTGATTAACACAAAAAACACAAAAAACAATTCCCTGAACATGTATAGGTGCACAGAGAGAGAGAGATTGAGAGAAATAGAATATATATAACTCAAATTTCAGAAAATTATAACTCAAAATATATATATATATATATAACTCAAATTTCAGATTCTACATGAAGATGGATCTCAGAATAGCACAATTCGATTAACACAAAAAACAATTGAACAGTACTAATTTCACATTAAAAAAAAAAAAAGAAAATTTAAAAATTGACAAACTCAAATCCATCTAAAACAATTCCACAGCCTTGAGCAATTAGATTCAATTTTCAAAATCCAATTCACAAAAACCTCAATCAAATTCACCGAAACACATTTATATCAACAACAATCCAATCTTTGCCGACTAACATTTAAACTTCACACTACACAATCTGAGTCATACTTCATAGATACTCGTAAATATGTATGTATAGGCTCAGAGAGAGAGAGAGATTGAGAGAGATAGAAATTGGGAGAGAGAGAGAGAGAGAGATTCATACCGCTGGATATCTCAGACGACAATGGTGAGTGAAAGAGCGAGAGAGGAGAGCTATATAGGTATGTGATGCGTAATAGAGAGAGAGAGAGAAAACGATTAGGTGCCCTTTGATAACACTAGCGTTTTCAGTTTATATTTACAAAAATTTTAAAAATTCAAATAAAAATTTGTTTGGTAAATTTTTAATTTATAAATCAGTGGTCTCAGTTTATAAATTTAGTCAAAAAATATAAACTCAAAAAATGTGTTTCCGTTTTGAGTTTTGAGTTTTTTTTTTTTTACCACCCAACACTAGCCACCAACCGCCACCATTTTCCACCACCGTCTTCCGCCACCACCACCCAACCCCCACCACCACCTGCCATTACCACTCACCACCCACCTGCCACCCACTCGCCACCACCATCCATCCCTCGCCACCGCCACCGCCACCTACCTACCATTTTTAATTAAATTTCCCAAATGGCTCTAAAAATTTCCATTAGCATATCCTTATACTCAATTTCGGTTTCTAAATCTATTAAGGTCATCAATTTCAGTTCCAAAGTCGTAGCCCCAATAGATATTTCTCCAATTTCGACAGGTATTCTCAAATTAATTCATATTAATGCATAATTAAGAAAAATAATTGTAACACACATTTCGGGGCCGTTACAAAAATAGAGGATGATTTTCTCACAGAGTATTTGTTTGTGTACATTGTTATCCACCACATCTGACCTCTTATGACCTTTTGATAATCTCTAACAGCCTCCATTCACTGCTTGTGACCTCTAACCACATTCTAGTGATCCTCTAGCCACTTCATAATCTCTGCATGACACCTTGGCTACCAACTCTAGTAGCCATCACATTCGGCCACCTCTACCACTCACCACCCGCCACTCCCAACCACCGACCGCCACCACCACCCGCTATCACCACTCACCACTCACCTACCATCACCATCCACCACCTACCACCACTTGCCATCCGCCACCCACCTGCCACCACCATCCACCACTCGCTACCACCACCACCACCACCCACTTGTTACCACCCACCACCCCCCACCGTCACCCACCACCCACTCGCTACCACCCACTCGCTACCACCCACTCGCTACCACCCACCACCACTCGCTACCCACAACCCACCGTCACCACTTTCCACTACCGTCTTCTGCCGCCACTTGCCACCACTTGCCATTTCTCACTCTTTTTTGTATTTTTAAATTTTTTTAAATATTTTGTCAATTACCAAACGCGTTTGTAGTTTATGTTTTTCTAAAAATAAACAAAAACTAATTTATAAAATTTTTGTAAATATAAACTGAAAACTTAAACGTTACCAAACAAACCCTTAGTGTTTGAATTTTTCTAGAACTAGGGCAAATATAAGGAAAATGGGTAAAAGGGTAAAATAAATATTAAAAAAAAAATTAAAAAAGGGAATAAATTGGTTATTTGTGACTGGTAATCAAATGGTCGCAATTATATAGTAGCGAAAGGTCACTTTTCTAATAGTGACATATATATTACTTGTTGTTGTATTGTTCTTACTTGTTTTTGGTTCATTTGTTACACTTCGAGTCAATGGCTTGGTATGCAAAGACCCCATGCTAGCTCAAGCATTAGATTTCTCCTTAATGGGCCTCAACATACCAGGCAACACATCAAACCCACAGGGCTTAGCCATCACCCCAGCCACTGTAGCCCAAATTCCAGGGCTCAACACTCTCGGCATCTCCATAGTCTGAATTGACTACGCACCATGGGGGCTTAACCCTCCTCACACCCACCCTCGTGCCACCGAAATCTTCACCGTCCTCGAAGGCACCCTCAAGGTCGGCTTTGTCACTTCCAATCCTGAAAAATTGTTTCATTAGTAAGGTTCTTCAAAAGGGTGATGTGTTTGTGTTTCCAGTAGGACTCATTCACTTTGAAAGGAATGTTGGGCATAGAAGTGCTGTCGCAATTGTTGGGTTGAGCAGCCAGAACCCTGGTGTTATCATAGTGACTTACACTATTTTTTGATGGAAACCAGTGATTTCTGGCGATGTTCTTTCCAAGGCATTTCAAGTTAATATGACGGTGGTTAATGCAATTTAGGGAAGGATATAGGTGATGAAAGAAGGGTTGGGAGGAGGATGAAATTTCATTAGAAGTATTTTGTTTGTGATTTTCATGTGTCCGCTAGGGTTTGTCTTTTTACATTCATGGTATATGGTGAAGAAATTCATTGTGGTTTTGTGTGTGATAGAATAAGTTTGGAGGCACACTATTTTCAATCATATTTTTAATTGCTTATTCATAACAAAAGTGAAACTCATACAATTATATGAGGTGAGTTTCGCTTCAATTATGAGTAGATGGCAGAAAATATGATAAAAATTATTGTTTCCAAGCAAGATTTTTATTGATAACAAAATTTGTATTTCCACTTATTTGTTGTTTCACAATTAACTTATGGACATTGCATTTGTATTTTTTTTTTTTTTTTTTGAGTAAGTCATATTATAACTAAAAAAGATAGATATACAATGAAGTTCAATACACATTCTTTGTAGGGAGAACAAACATAAACAAAGAAATAAACTACTCCCTCAAAAGAAACAAACTAAGCCTATAGACGACAAATACACCAAACACAACAAAGGATTCAAAATTTCCCTCTAGCACTCTTCAAGTAATGAAGTTTTGCTTTGAGTTTTCTTCTGTTATCCTCCTTTGTAGTCTTCTCATTAATGGGATCACTTGGAGATGGACCCCCTCTACTTTGTAGGCTCTTTGTTTGACACAACAACTCTTGATTTAATTCTCTATTTCCCAACTCTCTCATATCACATGATTCAAGGACATAAAAAGCATTAGATGTTGATGGGGTGAAACACTACGTCTCTCCCTCTTTGTTTTTCACTGTCATTGAACCTTGCCCACCATCTCTCCCTTTTTTCTTCACCACTTCCCATTTAGTTGGAACTTGTATGTTAGTCTCCTTGACTCTCCACTCTTGTTTGGAAGATGGAGGATTCAAGGTCTTTGGCTTCTGAGGACACAAATTAGTGATATGACCAAAAGTCTTACAATCATCACACCTTTGAGGCTTCCATAGAGCCTCAACTTGAATCTCATATGGGTCACCATAACCATGATTTATTTTGAAAGACTCAGGGATCTCTTTGCTGGCACTTCAATACATATTTTCGCAAACGTAAGTCTGTTTCTCTTGAACGTAGGCTCATCCAAATAAAGAGAAGTTCCCATGATGCTAGCAATGTAACCCAAACCTTCTTCAGTCCAAAACTCCAAAGGAACATTATACAACTTCACCCACAACGGCACACTCGAAAATTTACACTTTGTTAGTTTTAGTCCAGGTTGCCATTTTTTAACAACAATTAATCTAGCCCCAACGTAATAGGGGCCATCTTCCAAATTTTTTTCTATAGCCTCTTCACTTTTTACTTTAAAAATAAAAAACCCATTATCAATGGAGACAACATCCTCAAGCAAATTTCCCCAAAGTTTCTCTGCCCAAGTTTTCACATAATGAAAAGAGAATCTTTTATCAGTGAAGTATCCAACCAAGGCATTTTTCCAATGAGAAAAGCCTTTTTTTGAGATCTCTATAGGGACATTGTACATGCCATCTATTAGGTTATCAATTGTAATGACCCCGACCTCCGATTAATGCTAATTCATGATTAATTATGCTTAACAGTAATTTAGGAAGGATTTGGGATTTATTTGCATGTGTATTATATTATTTATGTGTTTTTATCTGTTTGCCATAAAATGATCTGTTCATGTTTTGACTTGAAATTGTGAAGTGGAAGCCTTATCGGCGTTCGAATCAGAAATTGACTTGATTTATGTGATAGTTAGGAGTTATAGAATTTTATGGTAGGTTTAACTAAAATTCGGTTCGGAGCGATTAAATTAGA